AACCAATATAATATTTTGTAAGAACTGTATTTCAGTGAAAAAATGTCCTGTATTTCAGGAAAAGCAAAAGCTTGCTCTATAGTACCACTGACAGATTGTATCTGGTAGTAACTGCGGCAATGGCCTTGATTCAGGAGGGAAAAGATGTACTCTGGACAAACTCAGGTGTACCATCCAGGGAGAGAAAGGAATGGATTCAACAATCAACAAAAATTAACAGTACCTGGGGACCATGTGGCTAAGGGAAATGGGAGAAAGGAATGAAGGCTAATTCTACTAAAAAAAAAACCATTAAAGTAGGGACTAAATCAGGATGAGAGGGAGGAATATAGAAAAAACTGTTCAGTATTTGAAAACTGTATCCCCATCTCTAATGTCAGCAGTGGAATACAAAATGAACATACCCATCTAGACTTGCTGTGAAACAGCTGAGGCAGAGGTTCACAGATCATCTACCTAAAGGAGAGACCGCTTTGCATGTCTCAAACAGGAAAAAATTTAACTTCAACTGAAACTCATCTTCCCTTTCCCTGCAAGAAGGATCACAAAGTTCCTCTCCATTAAGTGCGCAAGTTGGAAGGAGCTGAGTCTCAAGATGCAGAGAAAAACTGACCTAAGTACAATGGAGATTTTATGCACAAAGACAAATGGTATATTTTGGCTGTAATGAAGTATAATCCTAAATTGAAGGTACACAACTCTAAATGTGTTCTCTCAAGGTAGGAAATAATTGGAGGATACTTTAAATTAGACAGAGTAATGAAAGCAATAAAGCCTCTATGTGAAACAGATCAAAGACAGTGTTGCTTACGACTTGGCAGTACATGAGCAGCGAAACCCACCAGCCTGCAGGAATTTCCCAGGGACACACACCTGGGGAAACGAACCTCGTAAAGGACACCCAGAAGGCAGTCTCACCTGTGCCTGGGTCCTGGCTCTGACACTTTATAACTTTGGGCCTACTCAGTCCTCTTCAGTTTTTTAATATAAAAAGTGGGCATAGTAACACCTACCAATACCTACCCAGGAAATGTGCTATGCAAACTAAATTACATAACACTTGTAAAGCACTTAAAGCATTTAGCTAATGTCTAGCACTTAGTACGAGCTCATTAAATGTAATGCATTTTTTTACCATGCTTGCACTTGTTTGAAAGAGGAAGACATCTGCTACCATAAATTAGCCATTGTAAGTCTGTCCTTATTACCATAGGACTGCTATGTTGAATATGTTCTGTTGTTATAGATTATGATGAGGATCCATCTTTTTATATAGTGCTGGCAATTTTTTTCTCAGCAACCTAATATATTTCTTACTTAGGTAGTATATGACTTACAAAAGTAGGAAAATATTTTCCTGTTGAACAAAATCCTAAGTGGCCACAGTGACAGGAGAGTAAATATGGTTCAGCACTGGGTAGATTTAGAAGAGAAGTGAACAGATGCGTGACAGCTAAATGTCAAGCTGGCCATCCTGGGCAACACTGGAAGAACCTGAATTCCACGTAGTGGTTTCCGCAAATGCCTCATTAAACCTGACGCTGGGCCAATCTAATCCCAACTGTGCCTGGAGATGTTAGAGGACTTCAGTTACTAAAGGTCCAAATAGGGTAAAAAAATGAAGCAGTATTTGCCATTTTGAGAGGGCAGGAGAAAGCTGCTCTGTGCAGACTAACAGGAAGAAACTATCTGTAATATTCCCTAAAGAGATGTGCAATATTTAATATTGAAACCATATTTTAAAACAAAACAATGGAAATTCTTTCTTTCTGGTTATTTCTTAAAATCCATTGAAGTAATAACTCAGTGTTGGTCATTCATTTTATTTTTTTAAGTGCTTTCAGTTTGGTTGACAAGTAAGCTATGTAAGTTATGAATTTAACTATAAATATGGATAATGAAATTGGTGTTGGAGCAAAATACTTATTTGAGCACTTAGAATACTATTATGGCAAAATTTTGCCATATATTGATGAAATTTTCCTACATGAAAAATAATTGAGGCATCAGATTGAAAACTTCACCGTGAACTCTGAATATGACCACGGTGCCTCCCACTCAAGTTGTCCTCAGTGGACATAAAGGAAACACCACGTTCTGATCTTTGGACCATCTCTTTCATTTAGAGAATTTGTGTGTAAATAAACTGGAGAGCAAGAGGGAAGATGAGAGAGACATCAGATCAGAGTTCACTCGGAACGTTAGAAGAATATACAGAGGTGAAGACCGACAGATTAGACTTCAGAAAACATGAATTTCAAATTTTGTGAAAGAAAGGGTTACATCTGCCCATATATATATATTTTATGTCTTCAAAGTGTATTTCCTCTGTAGTTTAATCCAAAAGCAGTGGTTGAGAATAAGGAGACCTAGATTCTTAGGCCACAATGGCCACTAATTTGTTATATGAACTCCTGAAAGTCCCTGGACCTAATTGTACCTCATGTTCCCCTCTGCAAAGTGCAGTGGTCAGAGCTGTACCTGATTTCTGGTGATGCCTGCCAGTGTGAATATTCTGGAACTTCATATCCCCTTCTGTCATGTTACATGTAGTCTAAAGACCAGTTGCTTCTCAAGTTTTTCTAGCAATATGTGTTCATAAGCCTGAAAAGGGTTGAGTTACAAATCCTGATTACCTAGTGTCTAGAGATAAGATTCACCCCACAGAGGTGTAGTAAAGAATGAGCCATGTATCCACTAGAAGTCAAGTGCCATGCCAGGCTGGGCACGTCATCTGCACCCAATCCTCCTTCTCCCCTGTAACTACTCAAGCCCATTGGCTTGGGCACCTGTGGGTGAAAAACCAGAGCTTTTAATAGAGACAGAAGCAAAAGAGTATAAAAAGTCCTGATCATTTGCCTCAAAAAACTTAGAAATGAAGTACAAAGAGAATCAATTCTGAAAGGAAATGCTAGCATTTGAACAGACTGTGTGCAGGCAGAGTCCTTACTGGGAAAGGCTAGAAGCCCCCGGCTCCAAACTGCACTTCAGTCCAATAGTTTGACTTACGTTTTGTAGATTTGCAGAAACTTTTAAAAAATGAATAAAATATGACATAAAAACATGATCCTTAGAAGTAAAGAGACATTCTTAATCTGGCGTCTATTTAAGGAAAATGTCCAAATTTGTCATACTTAATTTTGATGAAATCTCCAAAACATAATCTTAGCCTGAGACCTATGTACACAGCCTCATATATGTCACATGCAAGATTGAAATCCAGCAAAACTATTACACTTACTTTCAGTAACCAGTACGTAATGTTTCTTAACTAATTACAATCCTCAAGCAACCTGAACTGTAAGGAATCCTTAAGTCACAAGTGAAAGTATTTTCTAAAAAATGAAGCAGGCTGCATTAGATGGACAGCCTTAAAAAAAGTCAAGTTAAGTAACCATTGGTTATATTTAAATTCTGGGAAATATAATTTTATCTTACTCTTTCAAAGTACAATATAAACTCTAAACTAATAAGCTGGTCAAGTTCAAAATGAGTCATCCACACACCATCTATCTACCTGCTCATTTTTTTCCTTATTCCATGCTTTTGAGCTAAAGACACTGCCATTTTAATATGAAAGGCAATCTTTTTTATCTTCGTATCTAGGTTATTTAGCTACCATAAAATATATGCAATTTACATCTTTATTATTATGTTTTGGAAACCTGGTAGAGCAATAATAGTAGTTTGCAATGGTTCTATCCTCTTCAAAATTTATTCTGGTCCCTCATATTCTAATCAGGCTTTCACTGGGGATTACTTGCCATTTCTAAGGGATTTCTAAAAGCTTCTGCCACCTATGTGAAGCTATAGGAAAAAAAAGTTTATTCCCTTCTAGACGTATTTAGTTAGCTGAAGTTATTGAAGATAATAACTTCCATTTTTATGAGATAATTTGCAGTGCAGTAATAACTAAGCCTTAGCTTGGTTAATCGGTTGAGAGCTTGCTTTACCAATAGCACTTAAAATTTATTACATGTTCACTATGACTGTAGGCACGTGAATTATCTCATTTAATTTTCACAACAAGCTTATGAGTCTAGTTCTAATATTTTCCCCTTTTAGATTAAGCAGACAGCCTTAGGAGAATTAGCAGTCCCCTGGTGAAGAACTAGTGTATGTTGGAGGCAGTAATAAAAGCTAGGTTTACCCAACTTCACAAATCTTATTTTTAAACATCACATAATGATGATTCCTATTGGTAAATTTTGCGTTTACAAAAATATATTATAGATTTGCAAACTGTATTAAACCTCAAGGAAACACACAGTATAGTCTCAGATGCACTATTAAATGCTTGCTGGCCTTGCTATAGATGCTATAGAAGTCGCACTGGAAGAGAATGTAGCTAAGGAATAAGCCCGTGACTAAATGTCCATGTTGGACGTCTCCCAATTTTAAAGGATGCTGCATAATCTCCTATTAAACTGCAATTCTAATATGAGTTGTAAATCTAATTCAACCACATAATAAAGTAATCTTGGAAAAGTACAATTAAATATATTAATTCCTCCTGAGAAACTATAACTTTTACATTGTTGAAATTGCAAGCTCCTAAAATTGGGAAATAATTATAAAATCCACCCTAAATCTTTTATGAAAAGAGGCAGGCTGTAAAGGTGTAATATCTAAAATAAACATTATCAAAACAACATAGAAAAGACCCTCTCTAGTCTAATACATCTCCTTTGTATTAAATCACAAACAGCTAGGATACGGTAAGTTTAAAAAAAAAATCTGAAAAAATCTCAATTTTAAATACAAGCCATTTATCTTCACTGCTGCTTCAAAAATGAAATTGGTATTTTTTTTTCTGAGTCATCGATAAATATGCCATTGGAAAGTGTGGCCAACGATTACAAGTTGCTCAGTGAACAAAATGCCATTGAGTAGAATATTTGCATATGTTCTCAAAAAGTTTCTACAAGGAACAGAAGAGAAAGTCATGCGGTCCAGCTGCTGTGCTTCCTTCACACGCGCGCACTGGGGCCAGTACCTACCCAGCAGAGTCAGGACGCAGGCCAGGATGGCGATCAGGGCCCCGGTGCTGAGGCCGGCGGGCAGCACGTAGGCCTCAGCGTTGCAGGTCTGGGCGATCCCGTCGGCGTCACAGTCGCACACGCGGATGGTCAGGGTGTTGGTGCTGCTGAGCGAAGGCGATCCACTGTCCACGATGAAGATGGGCAGATAGTAAACGGATTGTTCCTGTCTCCGGAAGCCATTCCTCCGGGTGAGAACTGAGGCCGTGTTGTCTAGGAAAATGAGATTTCTGATGGAATTGTCCTGCCAAACTTTAAATAACTGTTGAACTTATTTGGTTGGGGAGCCATATTTCCACCTATTGGTTCATTTTAATATATTTATGTCATGCTACGTGGTTGTAACCAAAGAAACAGTTACAAAGTAAAACTATGAAAATGTTTATGCATTACTTATATTAATGGCAACTTTGTGAGAATTATATATAGTACACCCTTTTACTTAAAAGTCAAGCTTAACACTTATTAAGAGGATGATAAAAATTAACAGGTTCACCTTTTTGAAGCATCATCAGATAGCACAAAGGAAATCTCCAGTCCACCTTTTTTGACAAGTTCCAAGCCCAAGATAGAAACAAGTAAAATAAGCCAGTCTAGCTTTATTTGAATTGGTATTCAGAGATACTCAAGAGAGGAACTATTGTATAGTTTAAAATCCAAATTGGTATATATTGTTACCAACACCTCGTGTAACATTTTGCGATAAAATAGGTCATTTGTGTTTAATTTATATTCAATATTCAATTTCATCTAAATGATTACAGTAGTTATGAAACCTTTCACATGACCAATAAGTGTGTATCACATAACAGATTTCTGTATCAGAAATAGATTTTTAAAATCTTCTAGCAATTTATCCTGCCAGCTTGTCATAATTAACTAATTAGAGAATCTGTGATTCTTTAAACTTACAGCAACTAGTGAAATATAAAGGAAAAGAAGGCAATCCAGAACCCCAATTTCACCCAATATGCTTCAGTATATATTTCTTTTCTAAGCTGCCGAGAAGATATTTACCCAGTATTATCATGCAAGAATAAACAAGAATTAAAATCTAATGAAAGAATAAGCTGAGATCTCCTATCTCAAATAGCACACAGCAGCAGGTTCACGTAAGACTACAGAAAACGTATAAACTGGGACTACAGATGTGGCAGGAATAAAATGGATTTCCAGATTCCATCCGGCAGGTTTTTGTGTAAACAAATCTTTTATTTCAAAATGTATGGATCTGATAAGTGTTCATTAAAGAACTATGCATGAATGGTTGAAGGATATTTACTGTGTTGAGTATGCTTCTCTACACATAACAGTAACACACACACACACACACCCTGAACGGGGAGCACATGCTGCAATGCCCACTATGGGAGAAGAGAACTCTATGTTCAGGAAAGAGAACATAAAAGTCATCATGTTCTGTATGTGCCTCAGATGGGGGCCAACCTGAGATGTGATGTTTCCCTATGCCTACAGGTTTTCCTTCGAGGTACAGGCTGGGGAGCTCTAGGCTTGACCTGGGAAACGTTTGAACGGGGTCCCAGTGGGATGTCCTATAAGTCGGGACATTTCACTGCACGTGCTACTGAAGGATCACGTTGGTACTAGACGATGACACAATGGGGAACAGTCACACTTCCTTGGAAGGGGTAAAATTCCCCCCTTTTTTGTGCTGAATGAATATAGGTTCTAAGAATTTTCCCTTCGAACTATGATGAAGTCAGAGGGTTTGGCATTACCCACATGGAAAATGTTCTTCCCTTTATATTAGTTTATATTATTTATATTACTAAATAAAATGAATTTTATTTTTAATAAAATAACATGTTGGCATTGAAAATATTTAAAAGTTGTTTAGGTTGAACTGTATGAAGTCCAATTATTTTCTTAATGTTTCAAGTCATGCCTATGTAGTACAGTCCTTATTAAGGCATTAGCTGACCTTCAACCAATTAGGTAATTTGGATAAAGAGCTTGGTATTCAAATAAAGAGGCAAATGTCTAGAAGAAAAGCCCAGCAGAGATGGATCTGACTTCCCCCCTATTTGGATTTAGGCTGAAAGTGATTTAAAGTAGCAGCTGCTGCTTCATGACAGCAAATCCATAGATAAAAATTACTTGAGGGGCTCATTGCCCTTTAATTAATGTCCTTGCTGGTATTTAAAAAAGTCCATAATCAGCATTCCTGAGCAAGAAAAAGTACTTGTTTAGATAGTCTGTGCTTCTACCGGCGACAATAGTAATACCTTACCTTTGTTATCTTTCAGTGAAAAGTTGTGGTTATTTGCTGCATCAGTTGTTAAACTGAAATAAAACTGGTGTCCATTGGAAGGCTCATCTTTATCGATAGCACTGACCTTCTGGATGACCTAGGGGTAGAGAATGTAAAACAAGACGGCATGTCGGTGTGCTCTGCAACATGTTCTGAGGCAGGACAGAGCAATTTTACATGTTATGATGCCATCTTCTCGAATGATCCTCTGGGGGAAGGATCAGATGTACTTACATGAACCCACTCTGAAAACAAATCATGTCCCTTTCAAAATTTATGTTTGAATTTAGTTCTGTGAACCTCAGAAATCAGTTGTACCAACTGATTATGAGACTGAACATCACTAGACAGGGAACAATAAAAATGAGTCGAACAAACAAGCCTACGATGAAACTACACTTAATTCTTGGAACTTCAAGGTTCTTACAGCCCATTGTATAATGTGGGAAACAGCCCAGTCAAACTTAATATGCTATATTTCTCCTCAAAGGAGTCCAAGCCCTTAATCATTTACCATGGCTTTTACAATATTCAGCTTTTCATCCTGAGGAATTTTCATCATCCCAATTAAACCAGAATTTGGAAGTCCCTTTAACATTAGTTTATGCTGCACATCAAAGTGTGAGTTTTGCTTAGACAGGCTGAATATATTTTATCTTAAAGCTGGCAGAATATCAAGGACAACGGCTGCTGGATATTTTTAAAGAAATCATAAACTAGGGGTGTGGCGTTATGAATTCTCTCACCTGCCCAGGCTGGGCATTTTCACAGACGGTGGTCTCATAGTCCATGGCAAATTCAGGAGGGTTATCATTGATGTCAAGGATACTGATGGCCACATAGCCTCTTCCAACTTGCGATGGATTCTCTAATAGAGAGGAGAATGTTTTACTGTTTAACATTTTATAATTTAACCTAAGAATAAAGCTGTTATTCCATTGTCATTTTTACTCAGAAAACTGGTATTAAAAACAACTACAATAAAAAAAATTTGCCTCTCTAAAGCACAATTCTAATAAGGAAATGACTAACTTTCAAATGAAATCTGGATTAACACTGCAGACTTTTAACAGGAAATCTGATCCAACTAGTGTCGTGAGTGTGTCTATGTGTGTGTATGTGGGTTTAGTTACTGATAAGAAAATCATTGAAAGAATGACCAGTAAAACATGAATTTCAATATTTTTTATGCCAGAGCTCATATCTGTATAAATACTCATATATATCATATATGTATTGTATATGTACATCTACTATATACTATATGTATATAATATGTATAAAATATAATTACACATTGTTCAATGTTTTTCTTATCAGGGACTAAAATTAGATGAATATCAGAATATACAAATATGGGTATCTTGGTTAGAGATCACTTTTCTATTTTTTTTCAAACCTATTCGACCAGCTCCATATCAACATAAATGCATCTTATGAAATATGACCACAAAACAACAAGAAGCCCTCTGAAGGTAGTTCAGGCCTATTATATTATAGTAATCTCTTTCACTAACTTTTTAAGATTAGCAGAAAAGTTAGTGAATATATTTCACAACCTGACATCAGACTGTCAAAATCTTTTGATTTAAATTTCAATTTAAATAAGCACCTAATATAATTCAAGTTGTAATTATAGCCTCCTGACCACCTGCTCTCCATTCTCAATGTCCTCCGTCCTGACTTAGCGTTAAACCTTACGACTTACGGCTCTCCATTGCAAGGACTGTGATGTTATGAACAGCGTTTGTCTCTCGATCCAAAGATTTGGCAGTTGTAATAACTCCGCTGTTGGCGTCAATATTGAAGTATCTCTCCAAGTCTGTGTTTCTGTCAATTGAATACCTAATTGAACATTAAAAAAAACCCCAAAAAACAAAAACTTCAACATTTGTGTTTGATTAAATTTGTTAAATTAATTTCACTAATTGCATGGCCCATCACCAAATCCTGCTGACTTCACTATCTGTCAGATTAGTAACATAAACATTTAGTTTAAAACTTGCAGGATATAGTTGGTTCATAACTTGCTTGTCAGTAATTTCTTTTTCTGTCCAACAGTACAAAATACACACCATGGTACAATCTTCACAGTGGATTCAAATATGCCATTGCACACTTCAAATTCACTTTATTATGATGTTGACTCCTAAAAACTATATATAATAGGTTTAGCAGCCCTACCATGGTTATAGATTCCTCTGAAATCAACTATATGTAGACATCTGGCCCGTTTACATATACTTAGTAGCATCTTTTGTCTTGATAGCACCAGCCTGATCTGAACTCTTTTTCTTTTCTTTTTTATATCTTTCACTCAGGAGTCTTGACTGGGGCTCCACAGTAGAACCCCTAGGAATGCATGAGTATTTTGGTGTGTAACACCTTTTCTCACAATATCTGCTATCCAAATATTAATGAAACATTACTGCTCCATTTGCATTGTTATTCCATTATGCTATTATTTGTACCATACACAAAATTCACCCACCCTTGTCTAATGACTATCTTCAAACACCCTTCACTGTCTTTCCAGCTGGGGGAATAAGGACTCTCACTTAAAAGCAAATACAAGAACAGACAGATAAACACACACCCGATTTAAGAAAACATTTTATGTTTCCATAGTTTTCCAACCACTACTATTTAATAGAATCATCTATTCTAGTCTGTAGTATTACAAAAGGCAAGAACTATAAAAGGGAAATAGAAGGCATCAGAAAACATTAGAAATGAAATTAACCATAAATCAACAAACATTCTCTTTGTGCAGCAACAGGTATTTAAGTGTTGAGAATATTAGGAAGTTATTTTTCAATGGTTTTATTTTCTTGATTGTGGCAAGGTCATCGGCTGAAAGAGCAGGAAGGAGAGGTGGTTTGGGAGGAGAGAGAATCATTTTTCTAAAAGAACAGAACATATAATGGAATAGCTAAGCATTGTGGATTGCCCTTTGAGGTTAACGTTCATTAAAGTGAAACCAGCCATCCAGTTTATCTGTCTTGTTCTCTTCTCATCCATGTGTTTGAAAGTGCATAGAAAGCAGAGGGCTGGGTTTAACCAGTCAGGGACAACAGAAGAACAGGAATACAGAGGCATACATACAGGAGTGGCAATAATGAAGGACACAGATGTATGTCAGTAAGATAACTGAGAAAATAGGGAAGGCAGATTGACTCCGAGAAGACTCTGGTGGCATCAAGATTGCAGGTCTTTACAAGGGGGCAGAATTGCTGGAGAGGGAGGTGGTAGGCACAGAGTGAGATGTTTGAGGTAGATTTCAAAAGCTGTGTATATATGAGAGCTGATGAGCCAAGGGTAATTTCCTAAGCATCTCTGACTAAATTGGGGCAGAGGAACAGGTCCCCAGAGTCAATAACTCTCAGAAAGTGAGAGGCCAACACGTTCAATGGGGCACAGGGGCAGCTAAGTTAGTCACTAATCATCATGCCAGGAATAATGCTGGGAAGGAATACAGGGATGCAGGTACTGAAATGCTCAATGAATCAGTGTGATTTCTGTATATTTGGTGGTTTCAAAGCAATATGGAAGATTCTGAGTAAATCTGATGATGCATTCCACAAAAGAGAGTTTTGAAGGAAAAAGAAAATTAGTTTGAAAAAGGCAATGGCAGTAAAAATGTGTGCCCAACTCCTGAATCTGTGCAACACGGGATATGAGAAGCAAACCAAATCTTCCTTGAGTTTCCCCATACCTTCTCCTATCACTTTTTTATTAGAGTGAAGTGCCTTTATTCATATCAAAATCAAACTGTTCTGCTTATGCTGCACTTCCCCTCCACTCTGATCCTTCAAGAATGTTTTCCTTGGAGTTAAGCACTTTCCCTCTGTAGAGCTTTATTTGAATCAAAAGCAAGTTATTTTATACTGAAAACTTTTTCCTCCGCTTGTGTTATCATTGGCCTCTATATTATCAAATCCACTGTGCATTTCTCTTTGTTACAAATAGATTTTAATTTTCAATTACAGAGGTTTTCTTCTCTGAAATGCTGCATTAGTCAAAACATTATGTGCCATTACTGCATGTGTATATGTGTATTTAAGTAAATACACAAACACCCATATACTTATATATGTAATAGTATCTTAGGGAATAGTAATAGAATCATATAAAGTTTGACAATAGGACCATAATACTCATGCACTCATGCATCAATTAAGCCAATACTAAAAGTCTGGATTGTTCACTTTTTCAAATCACTATGATAATGGTTGCATATTTAAAAAATAGAGTTGTACAGACTTACAAAGCAAATAGGCCTTGAACTTGACACATATCTAAGTGAGTTCATGTCATTCCCCACAAGCTAAACTTAATGACTAAAACGTTTATATCTGTTATCAATAGTCTCAAAGGTCCCACCATTAGAATGAAGGGCACTAAACTTGAAAGTTCATTTAGTCTGTTAACTGTCTCCCATTTCTATTCACTCATAGAAAAATCCCTCGTCTCTTAGGGATGTAGTTACCACCCTAGGTCTCTATATGATTTGAAGAAGAAAGTACACCAAAGTTTCTATTCAAATATGAATCATTTCTAAATCATAAACTCTGCAGCTTCCATTTATACATTGTGAATATTTTTTAACAGTTACAATTTTCACTTTGATCTCACTAAATAGCACAGCTTCATGTATACACATTTGGTCATATGTAAATTATTCTCATATCCTTGTCTTATGTCTCCCCCTCATTCATGCAGCCGGCAATTATCCTTGAGCACCTGCATTTGACACTCCATTTCAGGAAATACAGTACATTCAACAACTGTTTTTAAAAATAGCAACCTATAATAAGTACTTAGGAGAAAACCAACAAATTGCTCTCCTGTTGTATGAATAAGGAAGTGAGGGCAGCTGGCGGGAGAGAATGAAGATATTGGCTCGAGAAGAGATGGAAGATCTCAGCGAAGACAAGCAGTAGAAAAATTGTCCAGAACAGGCTGGGTGGTTATTACGTTTCCTAATCACAAGGACTTGGGGTCCCCCAGTGTTAAAACAGTTCCCTAGTTTCTACCAGTCCCTACGGACATGCCAAAAACTGAATAGTTTAATGTCTGAGGCATTAGCTACTGTATATAGTTACCTGAGAAAAACAATCCCTTAACCAAGAGAAATAAAGAAAATATGGGCACATTTTAGAATGGAAGATGTAAAATGTCTCTGGCTTAGTGTCTGGGAGGGCTGAAGGCTAAAGGAGAAGAGGCCCTAAGGGAGTTTGGGGGAGCAAGACTCTGTGGTTCTGGGACCCCTGGCCTAGGGACTGAGATGTGGGACTGCCTGAGTCAATCAGAGGCTGAACAGGAAGAGGACTGGTGTTTCTCCAATCATGAACCAAACTTAACTTCAGTGCATCTCTTGAGGCGGTTCGTGGTATGTGGACCCACAGCGATCCCTCTAGTTTATGCACAATGTAGCCTAAAATTCCTGGTCTCCTCCTCTGTACGCTGGGGGGACCATTAGACCATATCCATATTTTCGCAGCAACAGCAGTTAAAGCTTCTGCCTTGTCCATTTATGAGGCAGACAGCTTGAAATCTCAACTTCCTGTCTCAATTCTTTCCCTGAGATTATGTAAACCATGCTGCATACTTCTCGCAACACCTTCAGCTCCGGCTCAGTGTTCTCAAAGCAGACTTGGTGACCTTCCCCCAAACTATCCTTTCTTCTAAACCTGTCCATTTTCATAACATTTGAGTATTTAAAACACAGTTTACATTTTTCCCTAATCCTCAGATGGCTCTAAGGCCATGGGTGACAGACTCCCATTTGCATGCCTAACATCCATTCGCCCTTGATTCTGGCTAATAGAACCCTGCTTTTCTTAGAGGCGGCCATGTGTCTGGCTGGAAAACTATACTGGCTAGCTTCCCTTGGAGAAGCAATGTCCTTATATCTAAGGTTTAGCAGATTAGATGCAAAAGTTGTTGGGTTGAGCATCATTGAAAAACTCCATAAGGGACAAGAGAGATCTGTTAATTCAGCAGGGATTTGAGTTTTTCCCCTGACCTCTATCTCACCTGGGACATGAACACAACGGGAAGAGATCCAAAGCCCATCTTGTACCTACGAAGTGATGAGCGCTTGGTATAAGCCACCACAGCCCTTGATGGCATTACACTGCCAAATCGTCAGTCCTTGAGTGACAGGCTCCAGACTGCACCTTAGTAAGTCAAAGTGTTAAGCTTCATTGCTACTAGCCAAGCATGATTTCTAGCCAAGACAAGCAGGCACTATTGTTGTATTTTAGAATCAGACTCTAAAGTCTCACAGTTGCGTCATGGAGCCAAGGTTCAGAACCAAGTCATCTGAACCTCCCTCCCAGTATGTATCACATTACCACCCATAATGAGCTTTCAGTCTGTCACCAACAATTCTTACTCTGCTTTTCATTTTTTCCATTGCTCTCCCACTGAAAACCCTCGCCAGTCAAACTGATGAGTTACCTGATGAATGAGAAGGTTACGTGCATCTCCATTCCTGTGCCTTTACTCATATTGTTCCTCCTGTCCTCTTTTTTTCCCTCCTTTTCAACTATTTCAGTTTACGGTTCCTCCAAGACATTCCTCTAGTATTATAGCAGCTAGCCTTTCCAATCACATCAGCAATCATGTCCTCAGGGCCTCTCCATGGCTCTCGGATGTGGTGCAGGCACCAAGGGGTTGTCTCTTCTCCAACTCACCCCCCCCCCCCAATTTTGGACACCTCTGGAGCCCTCACACCTGAGACTGCCCTGCCATCCGGGAGAACTGCACTCCTGCCTTAAATTGGAGACTCCCGGGCCACAGGGTCTGGAGCTTTGCCTTTGAATTAGAGCAAATGGTGC